GAACGTGAACGTGGGCATGAACGTGGCCGCCGCGGCCGCGCACCACCACCACCACCACCACCATCACCACCACCACGGGCCCGGCGCTTTCTTCCGCTACATGCGCCAGCCCATCAAGCAAGAGCTGTCGTGCAAGTGGGTGGACGAGGGGCAGCTCAGCCGGCCCAAAAAAAGCTGCGACCGGACTTTCAGCACCATGCACGAGCTGGTCACGCATGTCACCATGGAGCACGTCGGCGGCCCCGAGCAGAACAACCACATCTGCTACTGGGAGGAGTGCCCGCGCGACGGCAAGTCCTTCAAGGCCAAGTACAAGCTGGTCAACCACATCCGCGTGCACACGGGCGAGAAGCCCTTCCCCTGCCCCTTCCCCGGCTGCGGCAAGATCTTCGCCCGCTCCGAGAACCTGAAGATCCACAAAAGGACGCACACAGGTGAGGGGGGCGAGGGGGTGCCCGCTCCCTGCCCCGCGTGGGAGCTGCGTCCCGGGCTGGTCAGTTTCACCCCCGCGCAGGGCACGAAGGATGGTCAGTTTCACCCCCGAGTAGGGAAAAGCAATGCAGCCGCTCAGTTTTATCCTGGGCAAAGCGCTCTTTATCCGGGGCAAAGCAATACAGCCGCTCAGGTTTATGTCGGGCAAAAACGGCTCAGCTTGATCCCGGGCAAAGCAGCGCAACTGTTCAGGTTTATTTCGGACAAAAAACAGCTCAGTTTTATCCCGGACAAAGCAGAGTAGCCGGTCAGTCTTATCCGGGGCAAAGCAAAGCAAAGCAGCCACTTTGCTTTATCCCGGGTAAAACACAACAGTCGCTCAGTTTGATACAGGCCTAGCCACCCAGGCTGAGGGGGAAGCTCGCTTCTTTCTCTCTCTGTCTTTTTTTTTTTCTCCCCCCACCCCCCTTTCTCTATCTCTCTTTTTTTTTTGTCTGGACTCCCGGGCTAATACGAGGCAAATCAGGGCCCTGCGGAGCGCGGGTCGCTTTGCAAGCGGCGGAGGCTCCCCTACCCACCCCGCTCGGGGACCCATACAAATGCTAATACCCGCTAATTTTCGGTGACTTCCGTTCTTCTTCGTCGTCGTCTTTTCTTCCTTGTATTTTTTCCGCTGCTTTTCCCGCCGTGATTGGCACGTCTCCTAATTACACCGCGGATACTTTTGTCAAAGTATTTTTCCTCCCAGCCGCGCCCGCGATTCGGCCCTCCACAAAACTAAAGCACAGCTCCAGGAGGCAGGAAACCAGCACATTTCCCTTGTCTCCTGGGAGAGACCCGCTCGGATGCCTCCCCCCCGAGCCGGACCGGGCCCCGGACCGGCCTGCTCCGAGCCCTTCCCCGGGCCGATGCGGGCGCTGCCCCGCGGCAGGGCTGCTGCAGCCCGTGCCATCTTGGCTGCAATTCCCATCGTGTATTAGATATTTATTTCAATGCATGCCTTTGCCCCCCAAGCGGGGTATGCTCTGTCTGGGGAAGGGGGCAGTGGCGGAAAGAGGCGGCCGCAGGGCCTGATCCGTTCTCAGCCTTTTGCCAAGGGGGATAACACGGAGGAAGGTTGTGCTTGCGGGTGGGGAGGGAGAAAAACCTCCCAGCCCAGCAGAAACAACCCAGGTGTCTCTGGGCAGCGGTCGGGGGAGGGGGATCCTACCCCCAGCCCCTTCACCCCTCGTGCCCCGCAGGTGAGAAGCCCTTCAAGTGCGAGTTTGAGGGCTGCGACCGGCGCTTCGCCAACAGCAGCGACAGGAAGAAGCACATGCACGTGCACACCTCGGACAAGCCCTACATCTGCAAGGTGTGCGACAAGTCCTACACGCACCCCAGCTCCCTGCGCAAGCACATGAAGGTAAGCCTCCCTTTATCACCCCCCTTCCCTTTTTATTCCCACATTTCTTTGTTTTGCAAAAAAATATATATATGCCACTGCCGGGCCGGATCCTGGACCTTGCGGGGATCAGCCCCCCCACGTCGGGTGCGCCCGGCCCGGCTCTCATGCCCCGTCTCTCCGCCTCCGCTGCCGGTTCACGAGTCGCCGGGGTTCGATTTCTC